TTATAGATAACAGTGTCAAATCTCTCCATTCAAATAAACATAAATACTATTACAAATGTGACTGAACACTTCAGGTGTAATCTGTGAACTGATCCAGATCGCTATAAACCGCTCCTAACGTCAGCCTGTTCTCATCTCATTCTCAGAACACACTGTCCATGCATGTTAGTCATCTGCTACACTGGAGATTACGAGACCTATTGCCCGATTTCATGGTGTTTTATAAAGTGAGGGAGAGGTTGAGGAGTTCTCAGGGAGTTCCGCAAATTTTTCTTGATTCACATGTACAAATCACATCTGTATATCTGTATATTACATATTACACCAACACAAGCAAGCTATATATATATATATATATGACTGTATATATCACATCCACATGTTTATAGTCCTCTACAGTTATCAGACTTAAATGGCATTTCCTGCAAATTTTAGTGCCCGATTTTCTTTATTTCCTGAGTTTAACATACTGGAAAAAACTTTGGTACAGGTCATATTTATGTTTTTTTTTCCACATTGTTAAATTCAGCAAATAAACAGTATCTGTGTATTAAAATGTGCAGAAGTGTGATCTCTGTAGAGAATGTGTTAAATTATTTGCACTTAGAAAATGAACAAAAACATCATTTGACCAGGGGCACACAGACTTTTGCATACAGCTGTATATGTGTATATATATTGTGTAATAACAAGTTGAGCATCTATATAAATAAAATCTGGTTATTATCAGCAATGTCAGGGTCAGGATTAGGATTTGGGTTAGTACTAAGGTTAAGTTTTGGATTTGAGGAATTGTTGTTGGAGAATTTAATTTAAAAAAAATAAATCAATAAAAATAAAAGCATTTTTATGATCTAAACCAGGGACTTTTTTGCCTTGGGGGGCCAAAGTGCAATGCTCATGTTTGTGTTCTACTGAAGGCCAAAAAGACAAAACAATGTACAAATAAAGAAGTTACTAAAATGTAATTCTTTAAAAAATATAATTTTTAGAGGGAAAAAATGTAATGAATTGATATAAAAAGGGATTTAAATTTAATGAATTGATATAAAAAGGGATTTAAATTTAATTAATTGATATAAAAAGATGTTGTCTCATTGGGTGAAGGGATGAGATTTCTATTTATTTTGTTTCAGAATTTATTTATCAATTTGTTCTCATTCTTATATTTATAAACTTGTATTATTTATTTGTAAAATATCTATATTTGTTTCTTCACTTCTTTACTATTTTTTTGTATTATTTAAATATCTTATTTTTTGCATTTTTTGTATATTATTTCAGAATGTATTTATCTATTTGTTTGCATGTCTTCATTTACTAATTTAAGTATTTACTCTGGCCCATATGGCTTTCCCTGCTATAAGCAAACCTACCATGCTAATGTTTTCATAATTAGGTGATTATGGGCTCCATTCACAGGAAGGTCGGTCGTGTTTGTTGCGAATGAGAGGATAAGAACATTTAGTCAACATTCCAGCTTTTGGGGGCGCCACGCAAAATTGATCCCACTGCGGCAATTAAGATATCAGAGCCAACAAAAATGAAGGAAGTGCGGGATGGAGGGAGCCAGCACTGCCAGCAGCACGGTCCTGTTTTCCAAAAACAAACTCTGATAACACGGCTGAAAGGAGGTGAAAAGTCACGCACTGTGCCAGTGTGACTGCCTCCAGCACCAGATATTAATTACTGCATAGCAATGCATAGCATCACTTTATCTGGCTTCTTTATAAACTACAGCCATGATGCACTGTGGTGGTTTTCCTGCAGTTAAGAGTAATTAATTATTAACAATAATCAAATTAATCTATTCATACACCAAGCAATGTAGGAAATTAAGGGCATTTTTTCATTGCACATTCAAGAAGAGCTGATATATACGAAGGAGCTGGAGGAAAACTGACACTTTTACATATATTTCATCTACATATGTGCATATATTTCAAAATAGTGACACATACACTATATAGTCTCGAGTATTTAAACACCTGACCATCACACCTATATGAGCTTGTTGGACATCCCGATACGAAACCATGGGCATTAATATAGAGTCACCCCTCCTTTCCGGCTATAACAGCCCCCACTCTTCTGGGAAGCTATCCACAAGATGTTGGAGAGTGTCTGTGGGAATTTGTGTCCATTCAGTCTAAAGAGCATGTTGGACGAGAGGGTCTGACTCACACTCTCTGTTCCAGTTCATCCCAAAGGAGTTCAGTGGGGTTGAGGTCAGGGCTCTGTGAGGGCCACTGGAGTTCCTCCACACCAAACTGGTCACTCCATGTCTTTATGGAGCTGCTTTGTGCTCAGGGGCTCAGTCATGCTGGAACAGGAAAGGCTCTTCCCCAAACTGCTGACACAAAGCTGGAAGCAGATAACTGTGTAAAATGTCTTTGTAGCATCAACATCACCCTTCACTGGAACTGAGGGGCCCAAACCCTGAAAAACAGCCCCGCCCATCATCCCTCCTCCACCAAACTCTACTGTTGACTCTGCATTCCGGTAGGTAACGTTCTCCTGACATCCACCAAACCCAGACTCATCATCAGACTGACAGATAGAGAAGCTGATTCATCACTCCAGAGAACACGGTTCCACTGATCCAGAGTCCAGTGGCGGCGCTTTACACCACTCCAGCCGACGCTTGGCATTGAGCATAGTGATCTTAGGCTTGTGTGCAGCTGCTCAGCCATGGAGACCCACTTCATGAAGCTCCGATGCACAATTCTTGTGCTGATGTTGCTTAGAGGGACAGTTTGGAACACCAGTAGTGAGTGATGCAACAGTCAGCAGCCCCGCTCTGTGAGTCTGTGTGGCCTAATGCTTCATGGCTGAGCTGTTGTCGCTCATAAGCAACTTTCCTTTCACAATAATGTCACTTATGGTTGTCTGGGGCAGATCTAGCAGGACAGAAATATCACAAACTGACTTGTGGCAGGAGTGGCATCCTATGTCAGTGCCACGTTTAAAGTCTCTGAGCTCTTCAGTGCGACCCATTCTACTTTCAGGGTGTGTCTATGGAGACTGCAAGGCTATGTGCTTGATTTTATACAACAGTTAGCAATGAGTGTAGCTGAAACACCTGAAGCCAAATAATAATTTAGTCATATATGTGGATTTGTTTATGTGGTGATTTTATCTCCACCTGGGTATAAAAGTAGCTAACCTTTAGTTAGCTCCAGCTGCAGGTGTCACTGCTGATATTTATTTTGTATGTGTGTGAAAGGCCACTCTGTTAGGACAGATCAGGTGAAGTTTATTTGTTGTGTAACCAAACTATTAGCATGGGGGCAAATGTGTTGTTGTTTCCAGCCTGTGCAGTTCCAGTTAGCTACAACAACACATTCCAGCTAATTAGCTTAGCGTTTTAAACTGGAAGCTCAACATTATGTAGAGACTAAACTCCAGCCTAAATTTATTAGGTTGAATGCAAACATTCTGAAAAGCTGCTTTCTTTATGACCTTGCACGCAGTTGGGAGCTGATGTTTGTGTCTACAGAGTGATTCAACAAGTGTATCTGTGATATTTTTAAACTTTAGCAAAGGTAAACACCAAATATCTGCAGGTTTGCCCTCGAACTCTGGACCTTTTGGAGTGGAAATACTGAGATGTGTTTTTGCAGGTCCTGATTAGAGCTTTGGCTCTTAACACGCAGTGAAAGTTGCGGAGACCAGTGTTTACCCTCATCTAACGCTCTGAATTTGGTTCATGAAGGCCTTGCTAATCAGCTGATGAGCTGATGATGGCAGTGTGCTGAAGTCCGTAGTGTTTCAGCCCGTGAGGACTGGAGCCTGACACACGTGACCGACCTATTAGGACTTTCAGGACAATTTTACGTTTTCCTTTTCTATCTAAGGCATCAATTTACAGACCACAGGCCAACACTGGGTCGTAAGCAGCAGTGAGGAACCCTCAGGAGCTGCCAGGCCTTCAGAGAAGGCCTAATGACTTGTGATAACTAAAAAATACACGTCTGTAATTTTTAAATTAATTTATATTTAAAAGAATCATTGTGCTTTTTGTATTTATTTTCATAAAGTATTATAGTAATACTCTTATTTTATTGTTGTGGTTTGAAATAAAGGTCTTGAAATGCCCAAAAGGATCAGGATTTTTTTCCTCCGTGGTATCTAGGTACATAAATCTAAGCGAGCTCTCTTATTGGTTAGGTCTTCAGGAGCTGAACTGAAGGCCTCACGCTTTAGCTGAACTACCAACATAGTTAGGAACTAACAGAGGAATCAACCAATCATATTTTGATTTACAATGGATGAGACCAAGTTAGTGAGAAAAACAATCACTCTAGGCCTGCAGAAGTTCTAGATGCATCACTCACTGTTAATTATACGTAGACTACGCTGTAGACTAATAAGCAGGTTTCAGTTAGTTGTTAGGAATGGGAATAAGTGTAAAACTGCCCATACAATGTCAAATATATATTAATATACGTTACAAGCTTCAAATAAAACAGTAGGATCCTTTTAACAAACTTCAAATGTCAGTGCACAACAAACTACTGGAAATCCCATAGGGGTGCTAGCAGACATCAACATTGTCGCAAAGGTTTTTTGTCTTGTTTTATTTTACTTTGTTTTGATATTAACTGCCCACACTGAAGGCCTAGCTCTAACAGCAAAGGTTCACCACTGGTAGGTAGAACTAGCTGTCAAAATAAGCTTCAAACCACATTTATTCACCTCAAATTCCACACAAACAAAGCACATCTGACCCGACTCCGAAGCTGCAATAGAAACTGCAATAAAGGAACCATTTAAAAAAGGCATTTTTTGTTTTTCTCGTGGACAAAATAAACAAAAAATGGTATAAAATATAATGTGATGCAACACATGCTCAACTCAGCAGTGAAGCCAACAAATTCCGATTCACTGCAGGATTCAGGGAGGCTGGAGCTTTGTTGAAGTTCGAGGACTGATGTTCTGAGAATAAGACAGCAAAGCTTTAGGCATGGACTGGCCTGGCATTGGCCGAGAAAGTTTACCTGCACAGGTCTGCGGTGAAGACGTCCAGACGCTCCTCTTTGGTCAGGAATGGGTGGAAGGCACTGCCGTCCGTGCCGTTAATCATGTTGCTCTGATTCGTGCCCCAAAACGTCATCAGCCTGCAAGGCAAAATGCAAATATAGCCAATTTATTTACTATCCAAAACCACCAGTGAACCAACATGTGTCTTCTGAGTTTAAATATGTAAATGAATCTGAAAAAAATACATTTTCTTAGAGCCTATTTTTACATTGCACTATTACTCCACCATTCATGGATTTTTAAAAAACACATTTTAGACCAAAACTTTATCTCAAAACTGTCCTAAAAAGAAGTCTCAGTCATCAGGCAGCGTATTAATAACCATTTCATGCAGTAACTTTCTGTGAGGGAGCTTTTAGAGGTGGACGTCTGGTTCCTATCACCACCACTGTGAACAGTTCTGACTCGGTAAAACGTCCTTTCAATGTTGATATAGACACTAACTGCTCACTTTCTGCTGAGCTCTTGAACGTTTCTTTCTCACTCAGCATACTGATTTTCTAACAGACATGTTTGACTTGCTCTGTTCCACTGGTTTCAAAGATCTTTCTGCTAGTAGTTCTGTTGGTTTTATTGATTACACACTCAGCAGACCTACTCAAAAACCTCCTGAAGTAAAGCACTTCCTTTTCTATCAATCCTTATCTGTTTTCCGACTCTCTTCAGACTTCAAACCTTTCTGAGCTTTTCTTTCCTTTCACCTCCCACATCATCTACTCCCGGTTCCTCTGATCAGCAGTTTGACTCTGCTCTTTTTACAATCTCTCTCTCTGCTAATTCCACTCCTACTGCTCATTTGGTAAATAACAATTTCTCTTCAGGTTCGTCCCTATTTCTCTCAAATTCACTGCAGTCACACCCATTCTTATGAAACCTGGTCTAGACACTTCCCCGCTCTCTCTGATTATAGGCCTTTCTTAAGAAAGTAGGTTTTTCCTCAATCTGGCTTTCGCACTTTGCACAGCACTGAGTGCTTACTGCTCTCTTAAGCTGGGCCTACACTACATCATTTTTGCCCGATTTTAACCCTGATTTGCCCCTTGCGACAAATTTTCACAATCTGAAGCGATTCTCCAGGTCGGGCAAAAATGATGTAGTGTAGGCCCAGCTTAAGAGAGCAGTAAGCACTCAGTGCTATGCAAAGTGCGAAAGCCAGATTGAGGAAAAACCTTATTTCTTAAGAAAGGCCTATAATCAGAGAGAGCAGAGATAATCAGATCATCCGTTGTCAGTCGCTTCTGATAACTCGGATGATCTGTAGTGTGAGAGGAGAAACGAGTGAATCTTTAGCCCTCGGATCAAACTCTGGAGTGATCAGAGACCCTCCAATATTATCAAACATGGTGATATTTACGACTCAAAACGTTCATGAGTCCTGCAGTGTGGGACGGTCAGAGATGACCTCGGTGAGTGATTCAAACAACAGCCAATCAGAGAGCTAGAAGAGCAGAGAGACAGGCCAAGAGATGCCCCACCTGAAGACAGAGGAGCTGCGTGTAATGTTGATCTAGTCATCAGGTCACTGTCTTTACAGTTTCAGCTCAGCTGCCAGTTTGCAGTGAAATATTTCTCCAGCTCTCACTGTAATATCAGCGTTTCTCACCACAGATTAATCCCCAGTTTGAGCTTTCGCTGCGCATAAAAGCCCAAACAGGTCCAGTGTGTTCAGCTCTGTTTGTGTCATGTGATCTGAGGAGATCTGGGAGTTTGAGTTCTTATCTGTAGCCCAAACTCATTACGTGTGTTATTCTCTCTCTTTGCCTTGTCGTCTAGTCTGAGCACCTCACAACAAAAAGTCATCCACCACAACCGTAATTCAGGGGGGTGCCCCAGGGTTCTGTCCTCAGCCCACTCCTATTCTACACTATACCCTCTATATTTAGATCATTCGTAATCATGGTTTCATGTTTCACTTCTATGAAGATGACACACAGATTTACATTAGCACTGCTTCTTCCGGGGTTTCATCCCAGTTACTGAATGCAAACATCACAGATCACTGGATGCATGACGATTTCTTGAAATTTAATACAGATATAACTCAAGTCCTGTTAGTGGGCCTAACAATGTTGGTTTCCAGGTTCTCCAACTTCCAACAATAGTAATGTTGGTGTGCCTGTCAGTTAGGTCAGTTAGGTCAGCTGAAGTTATTAAAATATGGGAGTCACTTTTACGTCATTACATTTGAGGCTCACGTTAAGTTCACCAAAACTGCATTTCATAATTTGCACAATAATGCTCCGCCCTATGTTCAGCAATAGTAATGCATGGTAAGCAATGCTAATGTGCCTTAATTATTGCAACTTCCTCTTTTACGCTCTCCCTGTTAGAGTGTTTAACCGGCTTCAGTTAATCCAATTGAATCTGATCATCTGCACACATCACTTTTTCCTATATCCGGCTACCATCCTCCTCTCTGAATTCAGAATTCCAACTGATTTTGACACCCTTGATCTAGACCCTCACCACCCTGTCCATAGATATCTGGATGTTGTCAAAGTTGTTGTCATTTTAGCTGACTACCAAACAAATGTAGTTTAAATTAAAAAAGGAATATGAGCTCAAAGTGCTTTAATTTGAGGGCGTTTACATCCAAATTGGGTGGATGGTGTAGGAATTACTACCTTTTTTTCCCAAAGCCCCCCAAATTTAGAGTCTCTCCTTAGTTTGCCAGAATCAAACATGTTCTGTGTCAAACAGAGCTGTAGGTAATACTAACCAGCTCCTTTTTCCTAGTAAGCAGCACTGTTTAAAATGATTTGGTGACCATGTAGGCGAACTGAACTTTTTGATTAGTTTTGATTTTGAAATAACGCAGAAAAGCAATGCAAATGTTTTTACGTCACTTATGCTGGTTTTACCCCCCACCGCCATAACCCCCGACCATCCACCCAGTAACACTGCATACTGTGGTGTTATCTGGAGACGGTTTGAGGGTATGAAACAAGTGGATTCCACCCAACCCCAACAAAAAGGCCCGTGTTTACTTATCATGGCAAAATTCTGAGTTCTGTAATGTTTTTATTTTAAATATTTGACTCTAAATCAATTTTTGACCAGAATCCACAGGCACATTACGGGCGCCAGATCTCCCATGTGCATACGTGTGAAACATGGATCAGAAACTGATCTCCCTGATGCGCCGACTGTACGGACCCACCCCCCGGACAACATTGCACTCTACTAATCGTAAAACGCAGTCAAGAGCATCCAAGGTAAAAATACCACTTGCGTGCAAACATTTATCAGTAAAGTCCGGCTTACGTCAGCGCAAGGTCTGCTTTTTTTCGAATGCATCCGCCACATTTATACAATAAAGACAATAAACTCCCTGAATTACACTGCCATCCCTTCCTTCCTTTTATTGTCCTGCCTGACATTGAGGTGGTGGGGGGGAGAAAGTGAAAGGTTGTTACTTTTGGCCTTTCCAGGTGTCGATGCGGCCGTACTCCAAGTAGCTCTGTTCTCCAGTGAGGTACACGAACTCTCCGTCATTGCTGCCGTTTTTCTGTGGAAAGAGAAGTGATAGAAACTCCCGTCATTCTGACTGAATGCTGTATATCGCTATATATATATATATGTATACTGCTAACAAACCACAGAGCACAGTAACGATCATGAGCTAAACCAACCACTGTGGCACTTACAGGATCAGAGCAAGACCACCTGTTTCCCCACCTTACTCTGAAAGCTGTCAATCAGCCATGATGTGTTTGGTGTCTGAAGTTTGCCTCTTAAGTTTTGTGCTGGATCTACGAGGCTAATGTGGCTAATAGAAGCTTAATCAGCATGATCTTAACCAGAGGAGTAGCTATGGGGGCGCCTGAGGGGGCGTAGGCCTTCTCACTTGGAAGCCTTCTGACTTCTTGCATCGTTCTTGTATCTTTAACCAGTACGACCCATTCTACTGGCAGTGTTTGTCTATGGAGGCTGCATGGCTATGTGCTTGATTTTATACACCTGTTAGCAATAGGTGTGGCTGAAACACCTGAACTCAATAATTAGGAGGTGTGTCCCAATACTTTTGTCTATACAGTGTATATAGACATATATTTTTATATATTTCAGAATATTTTGCCATTTTAACCAAATATGTTAAATAAACAAAATGCATTTATGTTAAAATGTTTTGGGAAATATTACAAATATAAAGGTACCAAACAAAAATAAATGTATGTTGATGTATTTATCAAATATTTTTGAAAATGTATGAAAATACCCAAAACAATGTCTGATGCGCTTCACTGTCCGATACCTTTAGGAATGAATTTGTGTTCCAGTATCTTCATTTTAAATATGATCAAATGATCCTTTAACATGCCAGAAGCGAGAGTTGTGGGTACTGACACTCTGTGAAAATGCAGTTATGATCTGATATCTTGTTTATTTTAAATACATTGTGAGTGTCTTACTGCAGACGTACATGGTTAATGCAAAGTCAGTACCGTTCATTTAGTTCATGTATATTTAGCTCTATCTGTAATCTTTGTTAAAACTACATATAACTGAAAAAATATAATAATAAATACAAATAAATGTATTTCAAAAATATATTTAACACACAATTTTTGGCCATTTTCATACATTGCAAAAATTATATTTTGATATATATATTTTTTCCATATGGGTACTTAACATGGCTTGAGGCAGGTTTGCGATGATTCAGGCAGGCAGTTAGCTAATTGTTGGTTTCCATTACTTGTTAGCTACATCAGCCTCGTAGTTCCAGCGCTAAAACTAATGAAGGCAAACTTAAGACGCCCAACGTGTAACAAGATGTGAATTCAATTTTGGCTCTGAGAGAGTGATCTTGTTCTTGTGTAGTTCAGTTTCAGTTAAGCGTAGCATCATAATACATACGTTGAGCATGAGGCCAAAGTACTCGTCCACCTCCGGCTTTATTTTGTGCAGTCGGCTGAGCAGCGGGTCCTTAAAGCCCCACAGAAGCTCGTCCACTGTGTGGGTCATAAACATGGTGGTGCCTATGCTGTTCATGAACATGGATATGGGTGTTTTCACCCAAAAGCTTGAGTCCCTTAACTTATTCATCACCGCCTAGAGAAAAAGAGAGAGAAAGAGAGACATAATGACAAAGGCTGTGATTTTTGAAAACTACAGGCAGGGCTGAAAAAAAAAAGACAAAAGTCATCCCTCTTTCCATTCACTTTGGATCAATGCCATGCTATCACATAGAAGCTGGAACTTTAATCACATCGAAGTTGGAAAGCTGGAATGTTTCACAGACATCAGTTTCAGAATAGATGCATATTAAAGCCACTTGAGGCTGTGTGTTACTACGATTTTAGCACAGGAAGGTTGTTCCTAGGCATGACTCGAAGCGGAGTAAAACCCCCTTCCGTGTGATAAAATCACTGTAATGCGTGCCTCGAGTAGCTTACTGCTTTTATAAAATGACGGCCAACATAAAATAGGATAAAATACAAGACTTTTCAGAAAATAATTCATTATTATTTATTATAGTTATTATCAATAATAATTGACATAAAGGAGTATTCCACCAAGAAATGTAGTTCCTACAGAGTATGGTATCGTTGCCAAGCAACCATGGACCGCTGAATGAGCAGAAGAACGTTCGGTCGCCCACTGCTGTTCAGTGCAGTCATTTCATGATTTTTTTACCTTTTTGTCGTGTAATAATGAACATATGATATCGCAGCACTGTTTAATGCAAAACCCTTCACTATATAGTTCTTTTTGGTCACCAAATCACCACCGCGAGTCTTATTTAGCACCAATCCAGCGGTGCCGCTCTTCTCACGCTGGGGCTGAATCTCAAACGGCTCCCTGCTCCCTACATAGTGCACTATGTAAGAGTTTAAATACTGGATCCTGCAGCCCAACAGAGCAAAATACAGCTAAGAAACAGTCATTTGGGACTCAGACTCATCCACACTCGGTAAATGATGCACTGTTTGACTGTAGAGGCTAGAATCTCTAAACTTTCATCGCTAGAACACTATTTAGGGAGTACGGAGTCGTTTGGGACTCAGCCTGGGTTTGACGCGACTTTTGACAGCGTGTAACAAATTTTTCCATTTTTTGGAATTCAAGTGACATTTTTAGACTTTTATACTGCTGTTTTACAGTGAATCATACCGTAAATACCTTAAATCAAGCCTGTGATATTAATGATGGAGTTGTTTAGGCTGTTGGCTCTTTTAGCCTGTTAGCTAGCTTAGTTCTAGATAAGAACATAAGTTGTCAGCCCCTCAGTTTAAACAAAAAACGGGGTCTTACTTCATCAGTGCACTCGGTGCTCCATGTGAGCAGCATCAGAGTCAAAGATTATTCATTAACAGCACAAGGGTTTTTTGTGCCATGGTGCAGTGATACAGAGTTCAGTTGCTGTGAGGCATCATAGGTATATCGCATATATTGTGGATTTTACAGCAGCTTCGAACGCGGCTGAGATTTTAGGACCAGAAACTATCCGTTTTAAAACGACACATAAAATACAATAAAAGTAAAGTATTAATATATATTATACTGTCTTATATACATGTCAAAATAGATTTACAAATCGCTGCTTTCTGTTTTTATTTGCATTTTACCTACTGTTCCAACTTTTTTTGGAATTGGGTTTGTACCTGAGCTTGTATGTATCAGTTTCACAGTTACTCTTCCAGCAAAAAGAGCTGCCGCCACTTTTTTAACAACTGACAGAAATGCACCAGTTAACTACCAGTAGCGGCCTCCCTAGAAATTCGGGAGGACTCAGAGCAAGAGTCGGCAAATGTTAAGAAGAGCCATTTTGTCCTTTGAACAAAAATCAAACCGCCTTGGGAGCCACAACATTTTATGTCCATTTATTGAAGCAACATTTTACCATCTCAGCTTTAAATGTGTCTCACTATGTGCTAATGTCTAACTATAAACTAAAAAATTTAAACGAAAACACAGACTTTAAGCTTTATGTATTGTATGTATGTATTTTTTTGGTCCTACAAGGGAAATGTGTCATTTTGCTGCCTAACTATGCCCAAACAGGGAGCTGCACAGCGTCGCCAGCAGAGCAGCGCCACCTGGGGCAGTGGGGGGTTAAGCTATAGCTGCTTTTCTCGCATCTCCAGCAGGAAACTTTTCTGCAAAAGTAGAACAGTTTCTTGTAAAATGTCTCTCAACGTTTGGCTTTTTACAAAGCTGAAGTCGCTTCTCGTTCACCAGCTTCTTGTTCGAATTTTCCCGTTCTATCTTAAATGGTACAGTGAGTTGTTTTTGTTAAGCTGACTTAATAGCACATTAAAGATATCTGACATGATGAATGACTGACACCAGCCACACATGTAATCACATAGACTCACCACAGCTGGGATGTTAACAGTAGTGACATTATCCACACTGGGGTCTCCTGCTGACATCTCTGGCACAAATACAAAGGTCTTGGGGGTCAGAGCGGAAACTTTGGTCCCATTCTCCACAAAGGTGACATTAATTTTGGGCCTGTACTCTCTACAAATAACACAATAACAAGAAACAAAAGACATAATTCATCCACAGCTCAGACATTAAACGGATGCTGGAGACACAACAATGCCTGCAGTTCTCAAGGAAAGGCTTACAGGACTAATTAATTTACGCAAAACAGTCATAATTCATTGTCACACAAGCGTTTTCCTACTACCTGCCTCCTTATCCCTTAGAGGTAAACAGGCTGGTTTTGTTTACTGTGCCTTTAAGGTTGGCTTTCTGATTGGCTGCCCTGTATTTTGTAGTTTACATACTACAGCAAACTCTTACTAGGATTTTTGTTTCCATTGGGCCTTAGATGTTTAATTCAAATGTAGAGACAGTAATTCAGGGACACTTCTATTTGCTTTAGACCAATCAGGATCAATTCAAACAAGCCACATCACATAACACACCCTCATTTGCAAGAATACTGGTTCCTCAGTGTGGCTCACACAGACTTTGGAGCTTGTTTAAACTATAGCAGGAAGTCGCTGTAATGAATACAACAACGTATCAGAACAAAGAAGGTGTGTCTGTTTATTGTAGGTCAATAAATATGACAGTTGGCTGTCACTATCATGTTTTAACTGCTCTATTTTGGATAGTACATGAGGGCAGGTTCATGGTACCAGGTGTAAGCGTCATACTTTCATTACGGTTCAGGTAAGTAGGTCAACGACACCTGAAGCACTATTTGGAGAGCAAACACACTGTCCGCTTCATTAGAAACCCCTGTTAGGGGTGTGCACATGTAATGGAACATTCGTTTGACTGGCAGGGGTACCAGCATTTAAATACTAAAATCAATATTTGCCTACTCGTTTTGCTGCATCATGGAAAGTCAAGGAAAATCTGGCCAATAATTCAGTGAAATGCCGAACAGTTTAAACAGGGCTTTAAAGTATAAAACTTCTGCTCAAATTTGTGATAAAATAAGTTTATTATATACTTTTCTACTAAGAAACACAAGTGCCTTAAAGTGATTGTTGCCTGAGATTGTGTGACTGTATTGCTAACCAGGCTAACCACTCTAGCTCCCATTATCTAGAACCAGAAACAATGAAAAGTTATTCATCTGTTCTTAGTGTTTACTGACATCAGTGAGTCATTATCATGTAGCAGGGCTCTATAAGAGCTCTACTAGCTCCAGTGTTGGTTCTAGCTCGAATGTCGTTAGCTAGCTCTAGATGTTGTGTTAGTTGTAGTGTTAGCTCTAGTGCAGGGCTGCCCAAAGCGTGGCCTGTGAAGATGTTTGATCTGGCCCACAAGAATCCCCACTCATTTATCCAGTAAATGAACAAACATGTTTTTATAATGTATATAATTCGTTTTCCCTTTATTTTTTTTTTTTATTTATTAACAAAATAAATTGTAGTGTTGTAAAAATACATTTATAAAAACTCCATTTGAGAACTACCTTCTTTATTTGTGTGCTGTATCTCCCCTCCCATAGCGTTAGCTCTGGTTAGCTCTTGCTATCTCCAGTGTTAGCATTAGCTAGTGTTAGCTGTAGTGTTAGTGTTAACCCTAGATGTAGTACTACCTCTAGTGCTACCTCTACATTACGTTTTAGCCCTAGATATGTTACCTCTAGGGTTAGCTGTAGTGTTCGCATTAGCTCCAGATGAGGTGTTTGGCTCTAGTGCCAGCTCTACATTGAGTGTTAGCACTAGCCCTTGATGTAGTGTTACCTCTAGTATTAGCGTTAGCTCTAGATGAAGTGTTTGGCTCTAGCACTAGCTCTACGTCGAGTGTTAGCTCGAGTGTTAGCTGTACTATTAGCTCTAGATGAAGTCTCTAGTGTAAGTGTTAGCCCTAGATATAATGTTACCTCTAGTGTTATCTCAAGATGACATGTTTAGCTCTTGTGCTAGCTCTATATTGAGTGTTAGCTCTTGTGTGAGCTGTAGTATGAGCTCTAGATGAAGTGTTAGCTTGTGTAAGCATTAGGTGTAGAGTTAGCTCTAGAAGAAGTGCTGCTGGCTCTACAATAAGTGTTAGCTCTAGTGTCAGCTGTAGTATTAGCTCAAGATGAAGTGTTAGCTCTAGCATAAGTGTTAGCACATGTACTGTTAGGTCTAGATGAAGTGTTAGCTCTAGCGTGTTAGCTCTAGTGTCAGCTGTAGTATTAGCTCTAGATGAAGTGCTAGCACATGTAACGTTACTGTTAGCTCTAGATGAAGTGTGCTCTAGTGTGCTTAGTGTAGCTTGCTCTACATTAAGTTTTAACCCCAGTGTTTGCTGTAGTATCAGCTCTAGACGGTTCTCAGTTCTCTTTGTAGAGTGAGTACCACCCATGATTAAACCAAACCTTAAGAGCCACCTATAAGTCATCTCACTGAAACACATGCACCACACCCACTTACACACAGCAGGCCTGCATGTGCAATTGGCACTTGCCATTTTAAATGCAGGAAGTAGCAAAGGGCACAGCCTTTAGTGAGAGGGCTGGGTGTCGGCTCTGTCTTTGGATCCAGAAGTTCAGTAGTGACACCTGTTTAACCCCTTAAATGGCCAGGGCCCAAATTTTTATTACACTCCTATAACCTAAGAATAGCCCCGCCAGTTTGCACTGAAGTCCCTGTAGTTACTGAATAATAAGCCTTTGTATGTAATGAACCTGAGATTTTAAGGGATTCAATTCAGCTGATAACACAAGCAACTATATAGCTAGTTTTTTTAGTGGTCCACCCCCAAAATATTCAATCAAAAGCAGCTCTGTGGTCAGAAACTGACCACTGATGGAGGACTAGAGTATGGCTAACACAAACTGTGCATCAACAGATGAGCTACGGTAGGTCTACACCAGCAAGGTGAAAGCACAAGGGAGGGGTTTCTAATAAAGTGGCCATGGAGCGTATGCTCATTCATTCATTCAGAACCACCTGCCTTTGAAGTTCATGCAACATCAATGCCTCCATGTACATGAGCTCATCAGAGCGCGCGAACATGACCATGTGTTAACGGATTAGTCCACAGTTACGTAACACGCAGCGGTGCCCATATGCCCGTTACATTACAGCACACAGGCCAGTCATTTCACACCGACTGCCACGTGCTGTTTAATTTAAGGCTGGAAATGTACAAAGTGCCTTGAGCAAACAGTGAGATTATTCAGTGATACAGCACATATATTAATTAAATTAAATTAACGTGATTTTTAGCTTGAGTTTCATGCACTGTGGCCTACATAGAAGACATGCAGGCCAAACTGTTTTGGTTCTGTCTTGATTACTCAATCAAAAATAATGCATATTGTGTACTTTCCTACTACTCCCAGTTACAGTAAGAAACAGATCCTGATGGTCACATTCGTTTATATGTGGACTGCCACATGGGCACCCTGGTCAAATTACAAATGACATGTTTTGTTGATTTTCTAATTGCAAATATGTTAACACATCCTCTGCTGGGAATATATGTAAATCTGGCACAATTTAGTGCACAATTTCTATTAATTTTACATAAAACGTTTGCATGTTACGTTATTTTCACTCAAAATAACAAAGTTTATTCAACATATAGAAAAGTTTGTTGTATATATTTCAATTTTCATTCAATATATATCAGAATTCTAAGTTTATACTGAATCAACTTTAAAATACATACAATAAACTTTGATACATATTGAATAAACTTTAAATGCTGATATATATGGAATGAAAATTGATATGTATGGATTGAACACTGGGATAAAAAAAGAACTAGTATTTATAAAATGATCTTTGATATTCATATTCATTAAATGTTTATATATGTATGTCTTAGAGATCCACACGTTTGTGGCTACACATCATTTTTCAGCCACTCAGCCTATCCCAGTGGTCACTCTGTATACATACTGGCCAATTTATTACTGGAATTTTTTCTCAACCTAGCGCATGAAAACAGCAGCACATCAGTGTTGTTTTTAGAAATGTCACTTTATGTTTTATATCAATACTGATTCTTAGTAATCAACGTTCATTGCATATATTAATGTTTCAATATACACCGATCAGGCATAACATTATGACCACCTCCTTGTTTCTACTCTCATTGTCCATTTTATCAGCTCCACTTACTGTATAGGTGCACTTTGTAGTTCTACAGTTACAGACTGTAGTCCATCTGTTTCTCTGATACTTTGTTATCCCCCTTTTACCCTGTTCTTCAGTGGTCAGGACCCCCATGGACCCTCACAGAGCAGGTACTATTTGGGTGGTGGATCATTCTCAGCACTGCAGTAACACTGACGTATTGGTGGTGTGTTAGTGTGTGTTGTGCTGGTACGAGTGGATCAGACACAGCAGTGCTGCTGGAATTTTAAACACCTCAGTGTCACTGCTGGACTGAGAATAGTCCACCAACCAAAAATATCCAGCCCACAGCGTCCTGTGGGCAGCGTCCTGTGACCACTGATGAAGGACTAGAGGATGACCAACACAAACTGTGCAGCAGCAGATGAGCTATCGTCTCTGACTTTACATCTACAAGGTGGACTAAAAAGGTAGGAGTGTCTAAAAGAGTGGACAGTGAGTGGACACAGTCTGTCCTAGAAACTAGGAGGTGGTCATAATGTTATGCCTGATGGTGTATATCATGTATACTATATGGCTCAGAGGCGCAGTGGGTAGCGCTGTCGCCTCACAGCAAGAAGGGCCTGGGTTTGACTCTCGCACAGTCCAAACACATACAGTCAAACCAACTGGAGGCGCTAAACTGCCCCCAGGAGTGAGTGTGTGTGTGTATATGTATGTCTGCCCTGTGATGGACTGGTGACCTGACCAGGGTGTTTCCTCTCTTCCACCTAATGAGCGCTGGGATTGGCTCCAGCACCCCACACCACAGTAAATAGTGTGTACTTCTTATCACATTTGTATGTCATGCAGCAAAATCCAACTCTGCATTCCAGTGTGTGAAAAAAGTGAGAGGTAATTATTCACTGTCGTCCTCCTTGGCTTCACACTGGAATATTCCGGGCACGCATGACTCAAAGCAAAGTGATTTGGCGGGAATAGCTTATGCAGTAATATCCTACTAATCAGGCTTTAGACCTGACAGTACATCTCTGCATGGTCATCTATAACGCTCAAGCCTAATACCACAGAAATGCCCAGCAGACTAAACCTGGGCACTATTAGAACGTGCTGGTCATGTTCATGCTGCAACCTGGCCACTTTATCAGAAACCCCTCTCTTGTAGCTCTACCTTGCTGGTGTACAGTTAGAGACTGTAAGAGACTGTGGCAAGAAGCTGCAATGATTTGTGTAAAAACCCCAAAAACGTCACTGTGCTGAGAATGGACCACCAACCAAACTAGATAATATTTGGTCAACGGCGGTCCTGTGGTCAAAAACTGGCCACTGATGAACCTATATAGTGCAGCTATAAGGTAAGAGTTTCTAATAAAGTGCCAAGTGAGTGGAAGTGCAAGGTGGGTGTTTCTAATAAAGTGGCCAGTCAGTGGAAGCACAAAGTAGGTGTTTCTAATAAAGTGGCAAGTGAGTGGAAGCACAAAGTAGGTGTTTCTAATAAAGTGGCCAGTTAGTGGAAGCACAAGGTGAGTGTTTCTAATAAAGTGGCCAGTTAGTGGAAGCACAAGGTGGGTGTTTCTAATAAAAACAAGGTAAGAGTTTCTAATAAAGTGGCCAGTGATTTTAAATGCATTGTAACTACAGGAACTGCATGTCTTATCTTTGATCCAGCCTCTTATCAGTCTGGGACAAAGGCTATGGTGTCATTCCCAGACTGAATGCTCTGTACATATGACCAGCTGTTTTGCGTAACGGCATGACTGCTGAAGTGTCACAACATTGTAGAAATCTTTGACCTTATAACTCAAATATGATTCTTTTACTACAATTTGATTTGATCATTGTGACAATAAGCACATAGGAAGCACAAGCTGTCCAGCACCGAGGCACACTAGTTTGCATGACTGCTGTACCTGTAGGTGTAGGGACCCATGTGCGTGACCTGAGGTTTGGCCCCAGCCAAGAATTCATCAGGGTTGGTGACGTTGAAGAAGAAAAACTCCATGAAGACTGGAGGAGGGGGGTTCTTCCATGTACCAAACACCTTACTGCCTTCCGTCAGGGTGATCTCCTACAAACACACACACAAAAAAGAAATGTGTCGTTGTTGGTGTTTTTCTACTGCACAGTCAAAAACAAGAACTGACTCAAACAGGAACCAACAGGAACTTGCTCTAGTTCATTTTCCATCTGCTTGAAAGACCCACCATAATAACTATTCTAAAGTGTATAATTCACACATCAACATATTATTCTAGCTACCAAATTTTGACTGAGCTCTCTTCTGATGCGCTCGAAATCTTTAGATTCATCTGCTTGGAAACGGCTCCGAAGCACAAACCATGTTAGAAAATGCTGTTGCATGCAATTACAGACTTTCACCAGAGAGGTCCCCAAATCCCACAACCTAAATAGCTTATCTGTTAAACCAGGAGTAGCAACCACACCATTCAAATTAACATTGGCCAAAAACGGACAATGAAATCTTGATGAGATATTATTTTTTTCAGGGTTTCTAAAACCTCATATTTTTCAACCAGCAAATGCGTCTTAAATACGACCATGGAATCAGCACCTACTAATAACAACCCCATTGCCAAAAAGTTGGGACGCTGTGTAGAATGTAAATAAAAACAAAATGCAATGATGTGCAAATCATGTAAACCGTATTTTTAAGGGAAATACTACAAAGACAACATATCAAATGTTGAAACTGAGAAATTTTATTGTTTTTTGAAAAATATCTGCCCATTTTGAATTTGATGCCAACAACACATTCCAAAAAAGTTGGGACGGGGGCCTGTTTACCACTGTGTTTCATCACCTCTTCCTTTAACAACACTCTGTAAGTGTTTGGGAACTGAGGAGACACTGCTGTAGTTTAGAAAGTGAAATGTTTTCCTGGTCTTGTTTGATACAGGATTTCAGCTGCTCATCAGTTCAGGGTCTCATTTGTCGTATTTTTCATTTAATAATGATTTCCAAAAAGAATTTCAAAATGTGATTCATCGGACCACAGGACACTTTTCCACTTCCCCTCAGTCCATTTTAAATGAGCTCAGGCCCAAAGAAAGTGGCAGCATTTCTGGGTCCTGTTTATATTTGGTTTCTTCTTTGCATTTTAGAGTTTTAACTTGCATTTGTGGATGCAGTGATGAACTGTGTTCACAGACAGAGGTTTTCAGAAGTGTTTCTGTCCATGCAGTGATTTCCACTACAGAATCTTGTTTGTTTTTAATGCAGTGCTGCCTGAGGGCCCAAAGATCACGGCCAGCATATACTGTTTTTTTCTTTTGTTACCCAACTTTTTTGGAACATGTTGTCGGCATCAAATTCAAAATGGGCAAATATTTTTAAAAAAACAATAAAATTTCTCAGTTTCAACATTTGATTTGTTGTTTTTGTACTACATTTAATGAAATATTGGTTTTAAATGATTTGCACATCATTGCATTTTGTTTTTATTTACATTTTGCTCAACGTCCCAACTTTTTTGGAAATGAGGTTGTAAATGCCAGAGGTTTCTCAGATGCACGTCCCTCAACAGTACAAGTCAGCACAATGGCTAAGCGAAAAAACGTTTGTTCATTCCACAGAAGTTGTGGATCTTTATGAAGTTATAACAAGGGGGCGTGCAGCGTTATAGCCACGCCCCCACATGCTGTAACAGTCCAGATGAACTCTAGGAATTGAGCTCTCTGGATGTTTATTTAGAGTGCTGGAAAACTGATCAAGGCTATTTGAGAACATGACTGATCCCCTTTAATCTAATTATTTGGATGAATCACTGAATTCATGGCTTGAATCCCCAACATTAGTAGTTCATTTGAAGCATACAGAAAACATTAAACCTACATTTTTAATTTCATGTTTTATGGAAGTACATCTAAAATATACTTTTCCTGTATTTTTACAGTATATTTATAAAGTAATACATTTTCTGGTGTTACTTTTACAGTAATATTTTTAAATTGTACTTAATTCTGCTGTGCATATAAAATGTATATCTTAACATACTGAAGCATGCATAAAGTACATTTGTCTTCAACTTTAATTGCAACCGAGCTAACAATCAAATATGGGGTCTGTGCACCCAAGAGTATACATCTAAAATCTGTTCAGGTTTTAAAAATCCTGTAGAATTTGTCTTAACTTCACTGCAATATAAGCTGCTCCAATTTACAAGAGGAAAGCACTTGTAGGCATAGAAGATGTATTTCAACATTACTTAAATATTATTTAAAAACATATAAGCTAAGTTTAGTTATTCCTAATAATATACTTATGTCTATACTTCAGTATGTACACTTAAATAAATTTTTTGTCAATAGTTTTTAAATTGCATTAAATAAAAAGTCTAATTTAAAATGCATTTAAGCACATTTTAAGTGCAGTATAACTAAATAAGTAGCACTCAATAAGTGTATCACTACATCCATTAGTATATTTATAGTATATTCCAAGTGTAATAATAGTTATATCTATAAATTACACTGCTCAAGTGTAACGTAAGTGGTTTAAAAAGCACTCAGAAGTAAACTTACATTGTCATTAGATGTTCCAAACAAATACATGGGTCATCCTCCACTTAAAGTGGGAGTTCAGGTTTTTAAAAAATCATTTTCTTTCATCCCAAAACTAAACAATCTTAATATGTCCATTAACATCTCCTATTATCATATATGCAGAAAGGAGCTTAATTCCAAACATATTTTCTAGTCACTGGTGTTGTATGAATATGGTGTAACACCAGTGACGGTGACTCCAGTGACATTCTGGGTAAAACTGAGGATTCTGTAAATTGGCTGACTCGTTGGCTGATCAGGTGACCTTGTACAACTATTTAAAATCAGTAATAAAAGTGATATTTGGCATTATTTTGACAAAATTTTGATTACCCAGTCATTAAAGGACAAAACACCGGTGACACCGGAGAAGTTATGAGCTTCCTGATAAACAAAGTTATTAATAAATTAATGAAATATAGTGAGCAGGTGTGACGTGAGACGCTTCCTCTCTGATGAGCCTCGACCCAAAGAAGCAGTTTAATAGAGCTGAAAATACTGTGTTAAAATGTAAAATAAGAGTCCTGATAACACCAGTGACCAAAAGTGCTTTACAGACGCAGAGCGACTACAAAACAGGATAAAGAAAGAAAAATCAGGGAAATTATACGGGAAATTTGTTATTTAATCTCAGCTCTGTGTAATTAACTCTGTAAATGTACATACGGACTTTTGGAGCTGTGCCTGATATTTTAAGTGTCTTTTTAAGCCCTGCACGGTTTCCTCTCCAAAAGGAGAATGACCCACATTCAGAATCATTTTAAAGTATGTTTTAAGTGTAAACATTAAAAATACACACTTTTCATGTTAAATACACTTTTGAAAAATACACTTAAGTGCATTTTTTTTTCAAAGGGATATTAACTTCTTCTTCTCAGCTCCTCCCTGAACAGGCATGTATGTTGGCCGACTGAAAGACTACAAACTCACACACACACACAAATCCACTCAAAGTAGGTTGGGAGCAGTCATGTGACTCCTGTTTTTGTGTGCCCACCAACCGCGATCACAGTAATCCACGGCGATGAGGTAACCTATAGCAACAGCATTCCACAGCAGCGAGGGGTCCTTTAAGGAAAAGGCGTTCACGCTGTCTATGGCCACAATATACTAAAACCACTGCACACTTCAAAAAACAAAACATTCATTCATGGTTTCTTCCTCAAAGTCTTTCCCTTAAAGCACACAAACTATAGGAAGCTGATTGGTTCTAAGGGTGGGGTGTGTTCAAGGGGATTTCCAGAAGGAAGATTTGCATGCAAGAAGCTGCAGTGAGATATCGGGCCTGAACTAAAGCAGGGTGTGCTGGTGAAATATTCCCATCACCCATTCCCACCCTACAGCACCACCCACCCCAGCTACTGGGATGGAGGGGGGCCAAACCTTCCCCCCTAGTGAAAAAGGCGCCAGTCAATAGTTCAGGCACAGTGTGCAGTAGAGAAAGACAGTGGGGCCCTTAGATTCACTCAGGCTTTATTCTGGAACTTGAATGAGTAGAAGGCAGAAACAGGAGAGCGCGAGTAACACATGAAGAACCAGTGCCGAAACAAAGATGCTTGTAGTTGCTTGGATATGTTTAATGCATAACAAGTGCAAAAGCAACCGGTCGTTATGGTTCCGTCAACTGTGAATAAACAACCCATAGCTATAATTAGACATAAAAGGTAGAAGTATGAACGACTCGACACCCGTTGTCTTTTCTCCCTTTTGAAATAGCCCAAGCTTGTGACCTGCCAAGCAACGGCAATGGCGACACCAATGACGGCCATGTCGTCCGAGTCACCTAAGGTAACAAGGGTGAAGTGGACCATGACGTGGTAAACAATGTCCTACATAGTTCAGCAGCTGAGATGTAAACAGAGTGATTCAGAGTGGTTTGGTGTGAAATGGGTCAGATGTCTTTACAGTGGTGGTGATAGGAACCAGGGGTCACCATGACTACAACACAGATATAGACATTTTATTTACTATCCAGAACCACCAGTGAACCTACACGAGTCTTCTGAGTTTATATGGAATGTTAAACAGTAAAATAGAGGACTTAGGGGCTATTTTGCCTTAGAACACCCTGCATGTCATGTATCCCTCCACCATGAATGGATTTTAGGGCCAAAATCTTCTTAGAACCATCGTAAAACAGTGTCTCAGTCATCAGGCAGTGAAGATTTGATTTACTTTGTCCATTTAGCTGATTGAGTTTCACTGATTTGAATTCAACCACTTGAAACGATGCAGTTCAACGTGATCACATGATCACAGTTTCTCTGATTGGCTCTTTAAAGAAACTTATTTCATGGGCCAGCATGTGACCCGTCATGTAACAGCAATGGTGCCCATGTCACTGGTGTCACCTGCGGTAATGGGGTGAACTGGACCGTGACACGGTAAAGAGCTTTCAGCTTTAGGTTAAGTAAACATGTGTAACATTTCTCAAAACAGAATTCTTCAAACAGTGTTAAAGTCCAGAAGGGAAGTTTAATCAGGGCCGGTCCCATCCTGCTGCCCT